AATACCTTTAGAGGAAACAACATTCTGTGTTTCAGTTCCTTATGTTTTAGTTTCTCCCAGAACAGAAAATAAGAGATTTGGAGGATATAGTTTGGGAGAAATCAAAAAGAACTCGAAGAATTTATCTAGATCTTACACCCCTGACACACGCAAGCCGTCCAATATTAATGATGATTTTGTTTTCTGGCCTTGATCCTCAAAATCAGTTCCTGAAAATTCAATGTCTACCCTATGCAATTGATTACTGCCATAATATATGGAGAGCAGACAGCTAGGAATCAACAAATAAAGTGTAATATACAGATATATGTTTGTATACCTACTACCATTATGGAAAGAAAATACTCAACTGCACAGTTGTGTAATGTATTTTACCTGCCAATGCACAGAGACACTTCTGAAACCCAGCCCACCAAAGGTGGGTACTAAGTCCCATTTTTTAGATCAGTTCCCATTTACATCCAGAAATTTCCCTGCAGAGAGGGGAAGAGAGAGAGAGAAGTAGAGAGAGAGACAGTGACACCCTGCAGGTTTACTGTTAACGCTATCAAGGGATAAAAACAGGAAGAAGAGTGGAAATACAGAAAAGGAAAAATGCATACGGAAAAATAGAAAAAGAACAGCCTTCCTAAGAACTCCTGGGAGAAAAGGAGAATTTACCAAACTTTCCTGTAGGCAGTAAAGGGCATTGACTCCAAACCAAAATGCTTAGACCTACCATTCACTTCAGATTTCCTTTGATTTTGCTGCCAGATGGTAAGAGCAGCACTTAAACACATAAGCTTCAACAACAGTTGCTCTCTTTTCTACAAGAGTTTAAATAGGAGACTAACTTCTATGCATTCAGCTGGAAAATTCTCTCTCATTTCCTCTGAAATTTCTCTTTTCTAACAGAACTAACTGGGTGAAAGTAGTATAAAGTCTTTTAGACCTTAAAAAAATACATTCTGTGGAGCAGAGAGTTGTTTAGTCTTTAGAAGATAAGATCTCTGAGTAGGTATATATAAATAAGAAATTTAGATACAGAAAAAATTAGAACCTCTTTTGCTTTCAACAAAAGAAAAATAAAAGGATATAAAATTGATTCAAATTCCCCTATCTTTATCCAGGTTTTTCTGAAACCTTGCTCAGGCACAGTCCCAGGAAAGTCAATCCAAAAATAACTGTACAGAAAGATGCAAGACACTGCATACTGGCAAGTCTATTGAATCAGCCACTTCCACTGAATTTCAAAACACAGAAAACTTTCCATACTTCCCAAAAGCAGAAGGGCTAAGCAGCCTTTTTCCTCTCATATCAAACCACTCAAAGGTTCAGTTTTCTTGAAAATGATAAAACAAAAATTTGTATGTGCTCATAAGCCTTGGTTCAGTATTTGTTTTAACATCTGAAGGACAAATGCCATAGAAATACCATAGAAAATCTAGATCCTGCAAAAGGTGCTGTTACTGAGAAGAGGCTTATGTTTTGTGAAGGCTTCTCACTGCAGTGAGGAATTGAGGACTGTACAGGCCAAATTCCAGAAAATGCAATGCAACAGATTTGAGAGGTCTGACATTACAGTGAATGAGAACATGCATGATTTCCATCACAGTAAGCAAGTGCTGCTTTGTAAGTATCTTCCTGCAAAAGCTATGAGGTAAAACAGATATATGAAGTTTGTGTTTCACAGACAGGCTTCTGTGTCTGCTTGGCATCAGTTGGGGGATAGTAGAGTGATGAGTTAATATTCTGAGTTTAGGTGGAACACATTCAGGGCTCATTAAGTTTCCAGCCATTCCTAAACAGCAACAGGTGCTTGAGAAATGTTTCTCCAGCATGTCATAGACAGCCTCTACACTGTCTTGGAAATAACTGAGTGCACTTGTGTTTCCTCCATGGCACCAGCTGACAAAGGAGGAGAGAACGAAAAGGAACAGGAAACACTCCCAAAACATCCGCATGTGCCTGGTGAATGGGTCTAGAAAAGTAAGTAATAAAATACCCTGAATTCAGATGGGATACTTGCATGTCTGTCCAATGTTGCCACTCATTCAGACTGCAGTATCACATTCAGCCAAGTCCTTACAGGCTCTCAGGAACCTTGATTAATTAACTGAAATGGCATTATAAGAAGCTGAAAGTTTCTCAGTGATTAGTGTTCCGTAATCCTTTATGTATGTTGAAGTACAGAGGACTGAATGTCTTGGGAAGCTTGTTCAGACATGGGAAGAAAGATGAGTTGTAGCTGGAGAGACTGCCTGGCACAGCATTTGTGTTAGCACAGGTTGGTTTAGCTTTTGTGAAGAGTGCTGTGCATGTGCACAATTACCTAAAACATTTCATAATACAGCCTGCCACTGTAGGGAAACATGCACAAGGAAGCAATTTTAAGTTCAACTAGCAGATTTAAGGAAAACAGGACTTAGTATTTAACATTTAAGAACTACATCCAGGAAATTTCAATGTGCAGAATAAATCTGTATCTTGATCTTTTCCTTACCTCTCACAAAGTTTGGAAAAAGCCTGAAAAATCTCTGCCAACAGCTACTGGGCTGGCACACAAATGCATGAGAACAGTATAATCTGTTTGTTAGGAAAAATTTTCCTTATGGAAACTTAAATTTTGTAACAAGTTCTTAGATGTTGCAATGACACAATGAGAGGTTTCTGCTAGGTCTTTGATGTTATACCACTACTACTTATCACTGGTAAGATAGAGTAGCAAAGACATATCTTGGAGAGTTTTATAAAGTCCACATGGGAACAGAACCCAAAATCCCAGAAAAAAAAAATTGTAACAAACAACAAGGATCACTCCAGAAGGAAGAAAAAAAAAAAAGGAAGTCACTGCTCCAAGGAAGATTCCTCTTGGTTTTGTACAAGATGACAGCACCAACTGATTCCAAGCCCAGACAAATGAGTTTCCCCCACACTCAAGTTTCTCATCCTGTCACTTATTTCCAAGTAGCTTTTGATCAATACCAGATCACTGGAAATTTGCTTCTCTATGAGATAACAATGTTGTTGTTTTTGGAAATCCACGTAATGATTTATGCACCATGGTGCTGCATAAATCTTTGCTAAAAGGGAGGATGAGAAAAGGGGGGAAACTCCCACTTTACCTTTGCTGATGAGTGCCCATATTCCTAACTCCAGCCATTCTGCTACCACTTCTCATGCCACAGACAGTCTCAGGGACTCAGAAGAATCTAGGGTTTATTTTCACTACAGATTGCTTAATAAAAGAGAGCTTACAAATGCCTTGAAATGAACAGCAACCATCCTGCAAGTCTGATGTGATCAGATATGCTTTGCTCTGTCCTGTGCATGTTCTGCTTCCTTGTCACCATCCAGGTTTCAGGACAATGCAGAATTGCACTGGATTGAATTTCTTCACTGAAACACCACCAATCTCCCTCTGGACTGGATTTTAAACAGGAGAAAGTATTTTCCTAAATTATTAATATTTGACCAAATTATTCCATTTTGCTCTGCAAGCAACTGTACTGTTTTTCCACTGTATCCACTGAATTTGGAAACAAATTTTCACTGGGCAAAACTCCCACACTTAATTCGTTTTTCACTTCACATTTTATCTTTCAGGTGATTCTGGAAGCTGCACTTCTGAGCCATTCTTACTGCCAACAAATAATTTTCCCAGAGCAGCCACTCAGATGTAGACTTTTTTTTTATTTACTGGCTATGTGCATGGACATGTGGTGTGCATGAACATGGGAACCCCAAAGCCCAGCCACAGCTCCAGTTGCTTTTGGCAGGTGTCGCTGGGATGAGTGCCTCAGGCAAGTGCCCCACTGACCTCCATCTCAGCTACCTCTTTGCTCACTTGTAAAGTAAACAGAATAGGGATTGCTGCCAAAGGCACTAATAAAAATAGCTCAATCACACAAGACTTCTCCTGCATGATCTTCACTACTCAGTACAGAGTTTGTTCTTGCAGAAAATGAACAACCTCCACAGGAACTATATTTTAAGCTGCTACAACACACAAAATTTAATATGCGCATTCAATTTTTCCCCATAGTTCACTAGTAACACAGAAGGGACATTATGCTTCAATACTGTGGCAATTCACAGGTCCCTTGAGAAAATCACTGCAAATGTTACATTCCATGAGATAAATCCTGAATCCTACCACAATAGACAAGAGTTTGGCCTCTGAATTATCCTCCTCGTTAGGGGGAAATCCTATAAACTTTCTCCCTGAGACATACACAGGGCCATGATGGCATGGAAAGAAAAAGTTTCCAAGAGATTTTGTTTTCAAAGGACAGTCTTTGACACAAAGGAAAAGTGGTCATTATGATCTGCACTCAGGTTATGTGAATTTGCTCACTCTGTGCAGAATTACACAGTTACAGCTCAAGCTGAGCAAGTGTCTGCAGATCCTAATGCAACCACTTATGCTTGAACTAAACCAAGTATGTGTCTTTTGTATCAACTTACCTAAAGATTCCAGACAAACTGGAAGCCAGGGGCTAAACCAGGTATTGTGTCAGGGACTGTAGCTAATACTGAACAGAATATTATTAAAACATTTTGACTTGTCAGTGGAAATCACTGCTGTGTAATGGAGCACAGAGTATTTTTGTCAACAGAGCCAGGTCTGCACTGCCTGTGTATAATTAATGCAGTTCTCTGCCTGGAGGTTTGGTTAATTCAGGAGAACATTGCTACTGGAAAGCACACATAGAAGTGGAAACCAACTAAAACTTTGATGATGATTTTTTTTCCTTTTCCATTAAAGAAATGGAAAGTTTTTTAAAAGAAATAACTAGAATGTTCTGCCTCACATTTTAATGCATGATATACTGTTTGCCTACTCACAGACACTTAACCAATTTTTCACATGAGAACTTGCTGTAAAAAATCCCAGTTTAATCCCAGAGACACAGAAAAGGATATAACACAATACAGTAAGTCCATTTGAGCCACATTCTTGCATTTCCCCCCCTCTTTCTGGTATTCCCACCCAGTACAAAAGGTACTACAGTATTTACCTTTATTCCAGGGAGTCCAGGAAGCCCAGGAAGGCCTGGTTCACCCTACATAGGAAAATTACATAACATTACAGACATTATCCAGTAAGGGGCACTATCCATTGAACAGCCCTGTAAATTCTGCAGGAAGATAAAAGAGCATGAATGCTAGTCAGCTCCAGCAAGATTGTTTTTTTCAAAATGAGTGACTTAAATGTACAATTAGTAAGAGTCATGTTAAGGACTTAGGTATCTTCTGGGAACCATCAATGTGAAGATGACACACAGGGCTGAAAATCCATGTCAGGAAAGCCAAATAGGAATTCACATTAGACTTCAGCAAAAGAGAAGAAAACAAGCAGCACTAGTTCATTTTACTGCCATTTAAGTTACATACTCATGACAGATGTTTAATTCTGTTCCATTTTCAACTCTGAGCTGGATACTGCGCTGTGTGACTCCCTGATTTACCTGCAAATCCATTCAGAAGAGCTTGGATTAAATTGCACCATTCAAGCAGGACTGCCTAATTATAACTGGGCCATCAGTTTTATAGAGCTATCCACAGCATCATTTCAGAGCTTGTTCTTTATCTGTGAACATACACAGTGTCATGAAGGATAGTGGGAATGTAACCTTTTACTGCTTTACCCAGAAAAACCTTGATTATTTAAAATTGCAATGGAAAGACCTATAGAACTCTATTTGCAAGGTAATTTTGTAACAAGCATTGAAAACTGAATGCATTAATTTTGGAAATGGTCTAAGACAAGAATGACAACATTGTCACAAATGGTCATTTTGAGCTATCAGCTAAATGAAAAGATGTTGTCTAGGGAAATAAAGATGGTGAACAGAACCAAAAAAAAAAGCAATAACATGTGAATAAAACACTATTTTAAAAGCTAGGGATTTTATTATAACACAGAGATGGATCCTAACCAGCACCTTGGATCTAAATATTCCCTGAACTTTCTGGAAGCTCAGGTTTGAACTCTGAAGCCAACTTTTACCTTTGTAATGAACTGAACTATATTCCAGATTTTTTTACACTCATGAGCTTTACAGAAATCCAGACTTCAACTCTGTGGTTTGGGCTGATCCCTCCAGGTTGTGCTATTAAAATATTTTGTGAGCCTGGGTGCACACACCCATACACCCATGCACACTCGTGCATACACACACAAACATAAACACACCTACACAGAATGCAGGTGTCCATCCAACTGCACTGCCCACACACACTTCTTTGTGGCAGAGATATTACACAGACTTGGAACACTCAAAATAAAATTACACCACTCTGCCACAAAATGAAAAACACAATAGATGGGCTGCAAATCACTTCACCAAATGAAACGATTTTAAAGTGGTATAGAAGGATCTGATAAAAGCTTCTTCATCTGTTTTAGTTTCTCCAAAGTTCTAACTGTTCAAATTGCCTACAAGCACAGAAAAGATTCCAGTCTCAAAATATTAACTATAAAATCAGATGAAAGAATAAAGACTAGGATGCTATTTTCGATAGACACTTTTTGGAATGGTGACTATCGCTTTCTAAAGCAGAAAATGGGTTACCATTCTTGCAAAAGAATAATGCTCCACTGCACTAACAAAATTTTACCTCCAAACCCCTACTCTGTCTTTCCACTTTTTGCATGAGCAGCCATACATACAGCACTATGACCATCAACTTTACCCATCTAATTGTGGAAGCACTAAATTTTGCTTGCAAGCACAGTACTGGAATATTTATATTGATATTATATTAGTGTTGCTGCAGTAGGTTACCCTTTAGCCTTGGGACAGAGTTAACCCCCACACACTCACACATAAGCAGAAAGGATCCACCAAAGCCAGTTCAGAGCCACAGTAATCTAAAACAAATAAAATGCCCCTAAAAATAAATCAGCATAAACATAATTAAATTAATCATTATTTCTTAATTACAGCTAGCATTATAGATGAATGCAGAGTATTTACTTTTTTGGACCCGTCCTAATATAAAAATTGTGAGTATGATTTATGAGAAGAATGACTTTTAGAGACACCAAGGCTGTATACTAACTCTATTACATAATGGCAGAGCAGGTCATTCTGTCACCCCAGCACACAACATGGCCCAAACAGTCTTGTCAGACTGCTGAAATATTGTCACATTTCATTTCATGCAAATAATGTTTGGGTGGGCAGCTGAACACATTTTTGTCCTTAGAAGATGAATAAGGGACAACTAGAAGAGGATAAAAGGGAAAATATAAGAAAGAAAAGAAGACAGAGAAAGGAAATATGAATGGAACACAGAGAGGGAGAAAAGCATTGAGATGATGTAGATGGCAGAGGCATGCCTCCAACTGGAAAAAGAGCCTCCCACAGCCTCTGGTGGTGTGGAAAAATCCCTGCTGAGCAGGGGTGCAGGGCAGCAGACATGGGGCACCTGGATGGAGGAGGCACACTGACTGGGCATGTTACGGGAGCTGATGGCTGGGGCTGGGACAGGAGCTGTGACACACTAGGAAATCATGGGGTGAATGGAAGGGAGACACTAAGCCCCCCTCTGGTGCCAAAAAGAAGGTGAGACTATAGAAAGTGTGAAATGCATACCTCTCACTCATCCATGTTGCTTGAATTAGATCAAATCTGAGTGCCTGAGAACCAGGAGCCTGCTGATAAATCACTGCTAGTTTTGCCTCCACAGCAGCCACTTAATGAGAGGCTGAATCTCCACAGGCACTTAAGTGCATTTTCTAGTTTATTAGCCAAGCAAAGCACACACAGCAGAATGCACACACTGGATGATTCTGTGGATTAGATAGCTTTTAACTACTTTGATTACCTTTCCTAATTAAAACTGCACTTTACTAAGGAACTGCATTTGCAACCATAATAGTCTTATTTAGTCTCTGATGAGAGTTCTAATTTCTTAAATAAAAATACTTTATTTCTTATTTATTTCTTATTTATATGTGGCTTGGGGTTTTGCTTAGTCACCAAAGTACCTTGAGTATTGAAAATGGTTGTCTTTCCATCCACAATATAGAATTTTAGTTATTGACTGTCTGTCTGGAATATCTCAACTGGCAGAAGGATTCTGTTCAACTCTGGCAGCAGTGTGCAGCGGAAAATTTTCAATGTTTTAAGAGGCAAGAACAGTGCCAATGGCTCCAGAGGGAAACGAAATGTTGCAATGCACAAATCCAGCTCTCTCATTGTCTCTTTGCTCTCCCTGCAGGACCTGCCCCCTAGTCTCAGGAAAGGCAGCTGAAGGCACAGCATTTGCTGTGTTTGCTGTACTGTGCATTCAAAGAGCACATTCCCCAGCCTCACAGGGCCTTGTGCAGCACAGCTATTGTAACTCCTGCAGGACCTTTCCTTGCAGAAGCAGCCTCAGCCACACAGCACCCAGGGGAATTTCTTACACTGGAAGGAAGAACAGAGCAGCACTACCTGGTCTGTGTCCTTCCAAACACACTGTGCCACTGATGGTTTGATTCCCCTCACAGGTGTATTGAAAGGGATTCTAAACAATATTTATTTCCTTCCTGATGAGATCCAACAGTGTACCACAGTTTGAAGATTAACAGTCAAACATGCAGGGTTAGCTCGTGATGACCCAAGGAGCAGAGCCATTCTTTGTTAGTCTCACTAGTTGCAAAGGGGTAAGCTTTCAATGCAAGAAGTATGCTGGGGCTAGAAAGGAAGGTGGGTTAGTCAAAATTGCTCCTTATGTTAATTAGTATCATAATTCCTGTGCCTTTTAAAAATACAAAATAAACATAGACCAAATGTGTACAGCCTTGGGCTGCTAAACTGTACTGCCTCAGACTCATCCCAGGTAAGTGCACTGGTAACACAGATGTCACATCATTTAACACAAATCCAGCAGAGAAGGAAAACCGAACATTTCCAAGCAGTACCTTCTGTCCAGGCCGCCCAGATTCACCAGGTTCACCCTAAAAGAAAACAGATGAAAGACATGAGATCTAATAAATTAGTTAAAGCTGTGGAAAACTGTAACATTAATGATACCCAAAATGTCTGTGACACTGTGAAGTGACATGGACCAACCACCCCTCTTCTCCCTGCACAAGTTCTTTAGAACTCCATTACCTTAATTCCAGCCGCAGAAGAGCCAGGGTCACCCTGATACAAAATCCACAAGAAATAATCACTCTTACTACATAAACTATTTTCCAGGAAACACATAAATCATGTAAGAGTACAACAACATTATAGAGCAAAATAACTGCATAGCAAGATTGACTGTTTTCTGTGCTACTACATAGGCATCTAACTAATTAATTACATCAGTGTGATTCAGAAAAGGAGCAGTGTTGTTTTCAAGACCATGTAGAGAGAGATTTAGCTTCACTCACCCAAACACCTATTATAGTTAACTTTAAATTTCACAACTAATAATGTAGATCTAATGATTGCAGATGTTGTACAAATGTACTTCACACGGACAGAATATGGGACATACTTTGTCATCTCTAAATTGCTGACCTACATTAAAAATAATTCACTGTTATTTACAAAGAATATGAGTGACCATTTGACCTAATTTTATAGATGGCAAGTGTCAGGACTCAACTGACAACATTTTTTGTGCTAATGATGATTTACATTGAAAAAAAACCCCATTGACCTATGAGTTTATCTCCATCAGGACAGGTCATAGTTTTATTTCCTCAACACTCCAGAGTATTTAAATGGATAAATTAATGCCTGAAGGGCTATACTTTACATGATGACACTGTGGTAATTTACATATTCAGGAAAGGTCTCTGTTCTGAAAGGACATTTAGCACTCAAAAAGATTTGCCTATATTTTGCTGGGTTGACTGGATTTCATAGGCACTGAGATGCACAGGACAGAGGATCAGTTGTTTTTTGTTTTTTTCGTGAACAATATGCCAAAGAAAAAAAGAGAAAAAACCTACTGAAGAGTTTGCTAGTTAGGCTATATACTACTGAAAATGACTAGCGTGCTTCTATTTGAAAAACTGCTTAATTATTTATGATGCAGAATAAATGTACAATGTTCACTGAAAGCAGCAAGTTCTACATAGCAGAAACTTCAAGCTCTGAGAGCTCTGAGCAGCCTGCCAGTGATTTACATAGGTAAGACAGAAGGAGAGATAAATAAGCAGGGTATAAGCTCGTTTGGACATGGCATCTTTTTGGTATGGTCTTATAAAATTAAATAGTACGGGTTAACATGCTCACTGGCCTCTGAAGAATAGGAATACACAGTTACTGCAGCTTGCTCTTGAATGAAGGAAACACAAAAATCAGTATTATGATATTGATACATGCATAGAAACCTGAGCTGCCTCATTTTAATAGATATGCATGAGTGACACTGTTAATATCCCTTACAAGCATGTACAACTAAAAGCCTCAAGCCTTTTGTAGTTATAAATGGCCAAATCAACTATTAAGACACATTAAATGGTTAAATATTTCATAGGGCAATGATGGATATGGAGAAGATAAGACACAAAATATTTATAATCCACCTTCATGCAAGAATAAAAATTAGATCAAAGAAAAAGTTATGGTACAGTATGTTCACAATTCACTGCTGGGTCAAGACAGTTTGCAAATGAAGAAACTTTAGCAGGGGAACATGTCCAAAGAAGGAAGATCCTTGGTTTTTTCTAGGGACCAAGGCTACAGTGGAAGGACAGAAGCAAGCACTCAAGCCTGGCATTTTATTCTAAAGCATCAGGTCAAGAATTAAGGACCCAAGTCCTTATTTTTGAGTGTCACTAGGTACAGCTGTTCAGTAAATAAAGTTACATTTTTTTGCACAAACAGGAACCTGCTCCTAAACCAAGTCTGAATCGATTGTCATGTGGTATCTCACTCTCCCAACACATGAATAAAAAATTATTTTTTATCTCACAGAAACTCCATTCAAGCTTTCAAAGAAACGTATTTGAGTTTTACGGTATATGGATTACAACTCCTAAGCCAAAACTTCCCCCTATGCTGAAGAACAGGAACGAATACAAACCCTGTTAAGCAGCTCAAGTGTAAAGTAATGACAACAAATTTAATGCTTACTCCTAAATTATCTGTCAAAAACCACCCTCATAAGCTCTCTAGGAAGTGCTGTTTGCAAAGCTACCTATCAGAAACTTTAAACTGCAGCTCTCCTCTAAGAACTGAATCTTTTTTTTTTCTGCATGGCAGGTTGTCTTGAAAGCAGGGAAAAAGAAGAAAAATACTGAAAGTCAATGAAGTCACAGCTCTGGAAAGTCTGGCAAAAATGAATGCAGAGGACTGTAACCCATTATGGCTAAAGCAGTGCACTCCAAACAAACAGAATATATTCCTATGGCACCACCCCACCTCTGAAAATAATATGGAACCTAGAAGAAATGGGAGACTTCTGCATTATGAAGTTGAGGAGCTATCTTGAAATTTCTTCAGATACAGCAATATAAGAAATCTCCTGAGAACCTCTACCTTCCACAAGTTGATCCCAACTGACTGCCCAACTGCTGAATGTTAACACAGCAGTATTTAAAACTTTATACTTGAGCAGAAAGGATTTCCCACTGAAAGAAGAGGAGAACTTTTTTCTTTGCTCAAAAGGATCCCAAACGGAGGGATGTGCAATATGGGCATCCCTGTGCAGGCAAGCTCACCCTCAAGGCTAACGGAGCAGAACAGCAACAGGTGAAACTGCACTAGGCTTCCCAGAGAGATTATAACCTTACCATTTACTTGTTGTAAAACTATCTCTCTGAAGAACAATCTCAATTTATAGTTCTAGTGGATTACAATCTTAAATCACATGAGAGTGGATCAAGATTATGTTACCAGCATACATCATGTAAGTAAGTAAATAAGGTTCTTAAGACTTTCATCTCTATTATTAAGCATGACTGCAAATAAAGTATTATTTAAACTAATTTCCAAAATCAAGTAACTTGACTATTCTTAAATCTAATGTCTGTTTTTAATGGCTGATTTTAGAATATGTCTTAAAATCCTTGTGCTCTTCAAAGTTCAGATTTACTGTATCTAAATGATAGCTCCTGAGGGATTTGCATGCGCTCCTTACCAGCTTGATAAATCCATCAAAAACTTCTCCTTGAACTGAAATGCTGTAAGTTGGTTAAGCATCACACATGCAGGAGTACAAGAAGAAGTGTTTATGTTTCTGCTGAAGCCTAGTCATTAAAATACATGTTTTTTAGAAGCACATCAGTTCAAAAATGATGGCCAGAAGAGATCAATATGCCTGATCCTTTTCATGTGCAACACAGCCTTTACCCTGACTGCTAAAAACTGGCTTTTGTAAGGAAATCACACTGAAAATTCCAGTTAGATTTTCTGAGCGCGAGTCTCACATAAAAGAAAACTCAGTAAAACAAATATTTTGACAAAATCTATTTTTTGGTGATTTCTACAGCATCTTCATACTCTGCAACAATGAACTAAGAAGTTATAAAGTGAGGTTATTGTTGATTTCAGTTGGGATAAGGATGTAAAATGTGTTTATCATCAAATCTTGATTTTCCAGCTGCCAATTTGGGAGGGAAGTTGCCTATTACGATACTGTAATTTTTGTCCCATACTGGTTTGGTCCCACTCTTTGATGGAAACACAGAAGGGGAAAAGATAAAGGGTACACCAGAAAACACTGCTGAAATTCAAAGGGGCAATTCCTACTGGCAGGTTGTGACAAAACCTGTATGATGCAAATTTCAGCAGAGGAGTGCTAGCTAGAACCATGCTGATACATTCTATACTAGGGCTACTGCTGTATAAAGAAATCGTATGTTCAGTTGGACAGAGCAGTGAAAATTTTTCTGCTGTTCATAAAAATGAACTTAACCAAATCGCTCACCTTTAAAAAAAATAAATCTCAAAATGCATTTTTCTTTTGAAAAAATTACTATTTCCATTATTTGGTTATACTAGAAGCATGCCTAAGGCACACATTTTCTTCTCTGCTAAGAAGTGTTGTTACCTTTTCTCCTGTGTCACCCTTCAGTCCATTCTCACCAGCATCCCCCTATAATTGAAACACACATTACATTTTAATGATTTTCTGTAAGAACACAGTATGCAGAAAAGAGTCAGCATTCCAACAAGATTAAATCAATGCAAGCTGATTTTGTTCATCAGATACTCAGACATGGTCAGGAAGGGGCTATGGCTTACAGGCTTCACTATAACTGCAATCCCTTTCACAGATCTGTAAAAAAAACCCCACCAGAAAGCATCAAAATACCTGCTGGTATAATCTACCATCTTTCTCACGTCACTGCAGTTTAGCAAGGAAGGAATGATTTAATGATTCCATGATGATTCAGCACTTTAAATTAGAAATACATTTTTCTTCCCAACACAGACACATTCACCTTGATGTATCTATAAAATTCAGATGACAGTTGGACAATCTCAGTAGTTTTTACTGAGATTCTCAAGTAATTTATAGCACACACTCTCTGAGTCTGAAGTCCTTCATGAATGATTTACAAACTAAAAAAAATTCACTAAATGTCACTCCTCCAAGGAGCTTCCAATGACTTTATCTCTACATAAATTCTATGCACTGTTTTTGTTAGAAAAGTGATATTTTGATAATATTTTCAGGTCTGAGTAGACATTTTCTATTCAAAAAAGGTCCAAAATTTTAAAAGAAAAATTTCACAATATTTATCTATAAAAAGAGACCAAATTTCTACTCAGTCATGTAACCATGTAAGAAGTCCAGACTACATCAAATATGTTATATGTTGTTTTATGTTAAGAATACAGGCTGAAAATTTCTGTGGGACTTGAGGTTCGTTTAAAGCACAATAAGTATTAAAAAGCAAAAATTATGGATAAAAACAAAGCCTAAGTAGACTAAAAACACATTTCTGGCCTTGGTCTGATAACCAGTAGTACTGTTCTAATAACATTATACAGTATCTGTCAGATTTTTCTGAAAATCTCAATGTGAAATCCTTTTGGAGAAGACTTCGAAATTTATACATCACAGCCACTGATACAATGGGAGTGAGCTAACAATCTAGCAGCACTTTAATTAAGGAAACATACATGAAACATGGAAGAGTAAGAATGAGGAATGTTACTCAAGTTCAATTAACATGATTAACTTATTGAGAGGATCTGTAACTACACATTTTAGAAAAAGAAACTGCACATTTCAGAAAAAGACAAAGGATAATTATGGAAAAATAGAATGGGTTTAAGTGACAAAAATTCACCAGATATTAAAATTCATAGTTATTCCTTTATGTCTGAAAACAAACTAAGGATTACTGAAGTACTTTAAAAATATCATTTTAACAGAATAAATTATTTCATTATGCATATTTCATGATTACATAGTTCTGCACGTGGGGCACAGAGTTTCAAAGATTTCCCTAAATTATTTTTATGGCGTGCTTTTGAAAATGTGAAAGTAATAGCCTTGGCAAAGCATGTTTCCAGCTGCTATTACACAGATTTACATGGACCTGGAAGTGAAATTCAGTTTTAGCTGCAAAGACACAGGTAAACATTTCTCAAGAGCAAATTGCACCTCAGTCCAAACAACTTACTTTTTAAACATAAGGTCAGTAGACTTGCAGAAGATGAGGCTGTGCATGGATTTCTACTCAAAAGAAGGCTTATGCTATTTCTCAAACTGCCCCTGCGAGCAGGTGAGGGAGCTCAGCTCTAAACTCACTGTGCTCCTACCCACCACTATGCCTGGAAGAGCAGAATTATACTCCCCTTCTGCAGCATGGGCTGGTTCCACCCCCTTGTCCTGCCTTGGTATGACTGGACATCAGAGAAGCAATTTCTTGCTAACTCACTGCAAGTAAGAGCCCCATCAGTGTGCCTCTCCAGACAGCATCACTGGGGGCAGATTCCCTTGCTCTTACTTAAACTGACACAAACACAAATAGAGCATTCATTTTTTTTTTTCCATTTTTATTTTTTATTCCATTTCCATTTTTATTTTTAGCACGTGGAGAGCTTGTTATCCAGGTATCACTGAGAATCTATGTAGTTTTACCATTCTGTTACCTAATTGCTTTATTCCACACAGGTGTCAGAGCATCAAAACCAAGTTATGAGAAATGTGCGGATCTCTAATTTATTCAGACAGGCTCATCATTTTCTGAGACTCACCACAGTTAGGATTAGTTGCCTGATTGCTCATCTGTGCAGCCTTTAACACACAATCACTGCACTCTGTGACTAATCCCACTGCAGTAATCACAGATCAATAACCTCCATTAGCAGGTATTATGTGACCCTTGGAAAGGCTGCACTGTGCCACTTAAGTTCCAGGTAGGAGCTGTGGTTTTTTATTTTTAAACTCGAGATCAGTGCACTGCAAGCAAGTTACCCAAAACAGAACCACAACAAAGGAAGTGAAACATCTCACCTTCTCTCCTCTTTCTCCAGGGTCACCCTAAGGAAAATAATTGGAGCAGAGAAGTTATAAGTTACTATGGTAAAAATTAAAGTGTTAGCCTTACTATCATTAGTTATTACTAATGTTAGTATTACTATCCTTACTAATAATTATGTCACTAGTGATGACTACATCTCAGATGATACAACAAGAAAATCTCTGATGAACAATAAAATATGTAAATTTAATAGATCTCAATGGACAACACAACTTCAACATTTTTTTAAAAGCTTCAAGGGTTTGCATGTGAAGACCTCTCTCTCTCCGTTTTGTCCTAGACCCTGACAAACAGGCAAATGTCTTTGGGAAGCAGCCTGCAGGGACCTAGGTGGCTCCTACGTGTGGTTCTCCATGTTTTGGGAACAAACAAAAGAAACAAAAAGTCTGGATGTGAAGGGAAAGTCTTATGATTCTGTCGATGGCTCAGAAGGTTCCTCAAGAGAGAGAAATTGCCTTAAAGGTCTTGAACAAATTCACGACTGTTCCAGAGTAAAAGGCATTCAGCGCTCTCTATACTCTCTGTAACAATCTCTGTAACAAAAAGATGGCTTATAGCCATTACTTTTTTCAGAATTAAAACGTGCTTGAGAAACTGCAAAAGCACTTTTGCACGCCAGCCTGACCCTGACAACTCATGTCTGCATTTGTGGCTCAGAGCTGCACTCTGGCTCATCTTTGCCCTTCTGATGGCTGGCAGTCGCTAGGCAACTCAGGGACTACAGCTGTGAATACGAATGAAGCATCAACTGCCATAATTCGGCTTCTTCTCTATACAAAGTAAGAAAAGGTCATGCTCCCAAATGGTTTGTTTTCATTCCTGATGGACAAACAGCCAGTCAGTAAATGCAAAGAGGCTGCCTTGCATGTCTGTCAGCAGCAGCATGATGCACAGAATCAGCTGAAGAGCACATGTGCACCAGGGAGCTCACTCGCAGCTGATGGGATTAGAAATTAGCATTGCCCCCTCCAAGAGCCCCACAGATCCCATCATCTTGGACACGTTGAGTTCTCTTTTAAATGAAGTTATCATCATAAGCTTTATGTTCTATCTCATTTGTTCAATATTAAAACAGCAGAACAAACTACAGAACAAGAAAGTGCAAAGAGTCATTCTGATGTAACAAATACAGGCTGAGACATGCTCCTAATGAGGCTTGTTGCTAACTTCCATAATAGCAGGATCAGCCCTCAAGACTTCACCCTGACATTTGTCAAAGAACTGACCGCAGAAGTTCTTGAAAAGAAGCCTGAAACACATTGTAAGGGGCATAAACAAAGCCTTTCTGAAAAGGTCCCCAAATTCCCAAACACTTGCAGGCATATTGCATTCAGCTGGCAGTGGATGCCTATGAATCAGTGCCCCCGACTGGAATTACACATGCACAGCAGAAGAAAATGCTTCTTTATGGTGAGATGTGTAAAGCCTCTTACAGCACTGATCACTGGAGGGAGCAGATCATTAAAAGTCAGTCAGAACATAAACCCAAGTTGGAAAGCACAACTGTCATTTACATATGCATTCACATGCCCTGTGCTTCTGTTTTTAGTTAATTTTCAATACTGACCTTGAGCCCTGCTTCTCCCTTCTCTCCTGCTATGCCAGGCAAACCAGGTTCACCCTAAAGGCAAAGAAAAAGAAAGATGAAGTTAAGAAAGATGTGATGAAATATATGAACCTTCTCATAATGGGTCAGTAATGATAAACACAGTTTTAAAAGACTCTGCAAAGATGTAGCCCACAGCTGGGCACTAAAATGACTTATTTTGTCAATTAGGGTGGATTAACTCTAACCCATGTAAGGTAAGAAATTATTCTTCTGAAAAAGGTGGAAACACACAGACGTGTCACTAAACAGGAAGGAGACCTGTGACTCCTGATTCTTAAAATCTGTCCAATTAGCCTTAAAAGCACAGTCTTCCCAGCAAGACTGCCAATGCTTTCCTCTTCTCTACAACTTAGAAATGCTGCAAGAAAGGCTTGTCTTAATTTATTTTGACATTTGTGTTTCTGGTATCAGATGGAAAAGAGATAATGAAAAAAAATGAGAAGGGCTGGTTTCAGAAATGGAAGAATTTGGAAAAGCAGAGAGCTTTTCAATTTTTAAAATATACTTTGCTTATCCATTTTTTATACCAGTGGTTGAAAAGTGGTTTTAAAAGATTTAAAAACTGTCAGCATTACATCAATGCTCCAAATTTTGGGTATGTTCAATGAGTAGTATAATACTCTTCTACAGTTTAAGGAGTCATAAATTATTTTCATGAGTCAATCAGAAAATAACATTTATTTTCAATCTTCTTTCCCATCTTCAATTTTAAAAATAAAGAAAAGAAGCCAACAAGAAAAAAAAAAACATGTCAAACAAAAAACCCCCGAAAAATATGTTTTAGTGTTTATATCCCACATTTATGGGAAAATGACAGATATTTATTTTACATAAAATAATGTAATGGTTAGACTTATTGTAAAACAACTAGAGCTTGGGCTTACTGTGTAAAAGCTTCTGCAGATGTATATCTCAGTTTCACAAGAAATACCTCTGATAACCCTCACATAGAGAACTGCATCACGCTTCCAACATGGCAAAGCACATTAAAATAAAAGCCAAAGAAAGATTTTTAAAAGTCTGCAGCTTGGCCCTTCTAAAAGCCCTTTGCTATTTGAGTGTAGAAAAATGTGGAAAAGTTAAATCCAATAGCTAACATAGCAATCAAATTTGGAACAGTAATTTGTATCAGTAAGTCAGTGAACAATTTTCACACAGTATTCAAATTTAGTACACATCATGACCCAATCCTCTACTCAAAAGTTACAGAGCATTAAGATAAAGGCTTTTCTAAACACAACAAGACATATTTTCTATTCCTCCAAAAAAGTCTCCTACTAAGAACTTATCTCTTTCTTACTTCTGCAGGCAGATTTAATCATAGATGTATTAACTCTGATTGTCTGTGAAAGCAAGTTCCATTGCATTTCTAAATTAGGTAACGGAATCATTAATTACATTTTAATTTCCTCAAGACTTGCACTGTTTCAAAAAAAAAACCAAAATCATCGAAGTTCTAGAACACTTCTAGTGAGGCATTTTCCAAGCCAGAGCAAAAAATAGGTACCATTAAGCCCTCAGGGAATGAAATAGTCACTTGTGTCAGCCCCTTCTCAAGGCCCCTTTGTACTACAGTAGCTGTGATAAAGTGGCACAGGCATTTGATATATGAGTGCTCAGGATTTGAAGCTGTTGGAGATTAGGTGTGAGTGTCCTAAAGGATTGACCTAAAAGGCTCTTGAAGAAAATTGCCAGTTGACAAAATGAAGCAGAAGGGACCCATGAATATACACTTGTTTCTCCTCATCCCCACACCCCAAACACGCTTGCTTCTGTCCTCTTCATTTTCAAACAGCTGCTGTCGGCTGATGTTTTAAATCTCTAATCAAAAGGCTGAAGTCCCAAGATTGCACTTTCCTCCTAGGTTTACATATCAGTGCTATGGATGCAGAGGGCCACTGCTGTGACAAAAAGGAAATCACAGAAATAGAACAAAAAATTATTTTCTTTGGAAAAAGTGAAAACCTCAGCCTGTCACCCAGTCATAGTAAATCCCCATTCATACCAGCAATTGCAGTTCTGACCTATGTGCAACTGCTATGCTCAGCACTACACTTACAGTAATGAAAGTACTAAGCAGAGATACTTGAAGTGCAGAAACTAGCTCTGGGAATGGGAAAGATTGAAGGCAAACCTAGAAGGATAACACAGAAATGACCTTGTGCCTTTATGTTTTTGAAGCGATTATCATTCTCTTGGGAAAGTTCAGAAGAGCAGGGAAAATATTCTTTTCCCTATGTGAGACCTTTATTTTCTTGTCTATACAAAGAATCAGTGAAAAGAGGTGAACATGTACAGTCCATAAGATGATCTGTGCCCTAGCCCTGATGAACATTCCAAGTGCAGAGCTAAACAAGCTTTGTGTCAGGGAGCCTCCCTTTGTCACTCTGCATGTCTTGTAGGCATGGCAGTCTGGCTTTATGTGCAGATATTTTTACTATTCCAGTAAGCCTTAACATAATCCCCCCAAAATAAACAAGAAAAACCAAACCACAAAACAAACATAAAAATGCTTTGCTCAAAGTAATTATGAAGCAAAGAGCTGTTAACTTTTGCAGATGAGTAGATTGATAGCTCTTCCCTACTCAGATACTGTCATTTTAGACATGTTCATCCCAAAAAATAATTTTGATTCTTGGCATGAAAATAATTTAAAATATTTCTCTTAGGAAGTATAGTTAGTTACTTTTCTTCTGTTTAGTTACTTTTATTTATTTATCTATTTATTACTAAAAGCACGTGTTAAAACCAGAGTGGAAAATGCTGTTAAGAGTAAAACTGGAGTGTAAAATGCTGTACAAGTACACTTCAGCCCCACAGGTTAGTGTTTTGGAGATGAGCAAAACGCACAGCTGACTTTTAAGAGGCTGAGGATGATGACCCTGCTATTCAAGGAGTGATGCATGCAAGGGAACACCAGACACTCAACAATGTCATTCGATGCAACAATTTAAATCAGACTGCTTTTCAACCTGATAAAATGAAAGCTATAAAGCTAAATCCTCAATCTCACATGTTTTTTACATTCACCAGGCCATGGCTAATGTCTTTCCTGACTGCTGCTGTAGTCTCTCTTTAATTGCATTGACAGCAAAGGTGTTACGTTGCAGAAACAATTGTCTTGAGCACATCGGCTAGGTTTCAAACCAAGGCAGCATATTTTTATCTTTTCTTTCATAGAATCACAAAATGCTTGAATTTAGAAGGCACTTCTGGAGATCACTTTTGAGGCCCTTACTTGGATTCTACCCAGTATGTCCACGTCTTGTAGTGAGGAGCCCACAACTGGACACAGTACTCCAAGCGTGGCCTTGACAAGTGTTTTTTCCCATTTAAAGAGTAATTTTTTCTATAGTACATCCAGCTTTAGCTCACAGCTCAGCCCTTCTCCAGTCATGAACCCCTGAGAAATTATTGCTCAGTAACAGTGATGGCAATCATTCTAAAACTTCCTAGTGTCTATAAAACCCAACCCATGATCCCAGTCAGAGAATTTATGAGGGCTAAACTGCAACCTGACACAAGAAAAATATGTAAGACCCAGAGAAATTGTGTGAAGGTACCCTAAGAGCATCCCCTTGGAACTTATCCCTAAAAGGGATGGAGAGTGTGGAAGATGCTGTAGTGAGGTGTGAAGTGTCTTGGTACTCAATTTAAATCAATTGTTACTTATCCCTTCTGCCCTTCTGCATTCTTATTCTCAGCTAAACCATACTGCAGAAGTTGTCCTATGCAATGAGCACTGTGTGGAACTACCATGATACACCAAAAAAAAAATTAAAATCTCCCTCCTGGCACCGAGGTGGGCTGTGATTTCCAAAGGCCACCTCAGCAATGTGCAGCTTAACTGACACCATGATGGAAAGAGCAGAAGCTCCATGGGATGCTGGGGAACCTGCAGCATCTTACCTGAACATCCTCTCTATCGAGGTTTGGCTGCACCAAAGCAGCAACAAAACTACCAGATGCACAAATGTCATGTCCCACATTGGTAAACATGCAAATATTGCATTAGAAATACTACTCAGGTAACCCTTGACTTCTTTTTCAAATGAAGTTATTTTTATCTTGCCTTTGTGTAACTTGACCAAGCCTCTAACTCCTTCCTGTATTTGGGCAAAGAACAACTTTTAGCACTCTGCTCAATAAATAGGTGTAGCAGTTTCCTCAGATACTCTTGTTGTAGGGGCAGTCTTAAAGCTTACACTGAAGTGAATCAAAATTTGGTGAGTACTCAGGTGTACAGAGCATTGCTTGGGCTCTCTTGGTAATATGAGAAAGAAATCTGTCAATATGAACTCATAAAATCTACTTCATAACAGGTCTGAAAATATATCACCCACCAGAGTCCATATTAAAGGAGTTGAGGCAGTTGAAAGCATGCTTCTCCTTACTGGAGTGCTTTCTGCCCCTGAGGCATATACCTTCATATCCAGAATTAATCAGCTAAAAATAACATGGCTGGGGGCCCCAGCTTTTCTTGTTTGTAACAGCAAAACAGCCCAGAGGCTGCAGTTCTGAAACAGGTTTTGTTTTGGTGAGATGCAATAACTCTCTACACCAGCTGGTTGATATCCACCTCACCCTGAAAGAAAGGCTGTCATATTGCTATATTTTTCAGTCACTAGAATGTAATCAATTTAAGGATAAGGAAACACAAGAGGCCCCAAACATAATCCAGTCTAATTTTACTCTAAAATACATAGATGAGGACAGAAAGTAAAAAAGAGGTTTTTCAGAAATGTTACTATGATTTCCATTTCAAACCAGGGTGGAATTCAATTCCTTTCAACTGGCTTTTTGCGCGCCTCAAAAGTAACTTAAAATTGTTTGTTTAAGGACTGGAAATCTCTCCTGGCCCACTCACCAACTGAAATTAAGTGGAAAGTCTCTTCAACAAGACTCAGCTGGCCTGCAAACATGTCTGGGAATTTGTGAACTATATTTATGATGTTTCCTCCCTTTATTTGAAAAAATGTTAGTACATGCATACCCTTCCTCATTTCGCTGAACAAATTTGATACTGTCACCTTCAAAATGTGTTCCTACACAGCACTGTACACAGTAATAAGGAAATACATGTAAATTAGAGAAACAAAAATCATGAAGAAAGCAGTAAGAAATGTGCATACCCAGACTCTGAATCTACTGATATGAAGGAAAATTGTTTGAGGTTTATCATAGTGCTATTGCAAATCTACCAGAAGAATTTGAAATTAAGGGATCTATCCTGATCATTCATTCTGTTTTCAATATACCCTTACCAAAAAACCCACCAAAATATCAAGTAGTGCGTAAGAAAAGTAGTACTATGTAAGAAAAGATTTATGGAAGTTTAGAGTGAGGTGTTTGTGCACTCCAGACAAACTCCTATTTATAACAAAGATGGTTATTCGCACAAACTCCAGAAACTGGGTTCCTTCAGCCAAATACCATCTTAACACTTAAGGAATCTCTGCTTTTCTCTTTGTGGGCTGCTGCAGTCATTGACAGCCCTTATCAAATCAGTAACACTTAACAAATACCAGAATATATATTCTATACTTGCAGAGTTTAACTTTCCAAGAAGTCCTTTGTGGCTATTTCAACACAATTAATGTATGAATGTGGTATCCTCAGATCACTGCAACCTCCCAGCACCTTGCAGAATTAGTGCTTTTCTGTACTTTTCAAGTGCCTGAGGAACTTCTGCCAGGGATGGAGAAAGGGAAGTTTATCTGCCACTGCATTGTGACAGAAAGAAACCTGTGGCTTGCACAACAGTCTGCAAAGGAAAGATTCCTTATTTCAGCAGGTTTTGGTCCACCCCAAAACCAACACTATTTCCAGCTGCAGGTATTATTAGGCAGCTCCTTTCCAGTTACTGTTCTCAAGATAAACTTGCTGCAACTTCTCAAATGTAGGAACAAATGAAGACTGTAAATGTCCTTGCAAGACTACCTGTAATGTTTCACTGGATTTGGCCTAATGTGTGAAGGTTTTATGGCAGTGATTTTGCTACTCTAAATACAAAAAAAAATCTACTCGTTAACAGTCCTGCAAAAACATGTGGGTTGTGTAAAATTACACTTCCTCTAATATCTAGAGACTGTCTAAGACAAGGGGTTCATATGTTAAGGGATTAAAAGACTGCTCTAAGTGCACTCAAAATTTATGATCTCATTCCCAGACCTATGGTCAGACTTGTCAATCATCTCCCATAGCTCAGTATTTCAATTAAAGAAGAGGTGAAACAAAGAAAAAGGAAAATTACAGACGCATGTAGATGATGGAGATGACCTAACTCTGTTTTGTTCAACTGCTTGAGGACAGAGCAAAGCTAATTCACTGCTGATATTCACTGGCTGAAAAATACTTCATTGTCCAAATGAGAAAAGCATTCACACACTTAATTTTAAGCATGTGCTTAACACTCACTGCCTTTTAAACCAAGGAAAAATATTAACTTGGAACTTAGTGCACTGCACATGCTGCTGCCTGACAGAGCGAGCTCACTGGCCAAATGACGACAGGACAGTAAGGCTTTTGTAAAGTCCTTTATCTACGTCACTTCTAAAAAGGGGATGACTCGCATCACACATGCAAGTTGAACCCAACTGTTCTGCAAGTCACCATGAATCTGAATGAGTAAAGCCAGAAGTGCCAGCAGGCGGCTCACAGTACAGCCCGACTCTTAAAATCACCACTCTGGTCCTCATCAACATCTCATGTGCTGCACTGCACTGAGAATCTGTTTTTTCATAGAAATTGGAAGAACTGACCTTTTGATAGCAAAATATTAACATGGGATTGCTAGGCTGCATTATACTTTCTAACTCTAGACAAATACTGCTTCATTTAAACTTCATTTCTACCAGTGTTTCCAAGCTAACAGAATTTTTAATCTATTTATTAAAGAGATAGCAACATTCAACTTTCACCTGCCTAGTATTAAGAAAATAATATATTTTTTGCAAATAAGGAAGTGGTTTCTAGTCAATATCGACCAACAGCTGAGAAATCAAATTAAAGAATGCAACAGCAATTTATTTTTATCTGTGTGGCTTTTGTCCTGGTCCCTCTGTTTCACTTTAGTAATTCAGTTTTTTTTTTTTTTAAAGGTCAAAAGTAAAGCAGTCCAGCTACACTAAAAACACTCTGACATCTTTAATAAAGTGGTAATAATTTTAAAATGTCTGCGAAGTTATAGATGTGATGAATGAAGAAGTAAATCAAATAAATAGACACCCATAAATTGAAAATTTTGGAGTCTTTTAAAAGCACAATTTAAAATTAATAATCAACATTTAAAGATGTGTTTTCATCTTCCCATAATGTTCAACTGCACATTTCTTTTATGCCCCCTGAAACATGACAGCAAATAAGTAAGTCTATGTGGTCTCCTAAAAATAGACATGCAACAACCTTGCCAAAGAGCTTAAAAAAATTCCCTGTCTCCCAAAATGACACATTAATCACACATTTGACACATTTCATTAATATCAATTTTTTCTGCTCATTTGAGTGAATTTTTCTTGCTGGAGTTTGCATGATTTCTATTAAAAATAAAGTTCTTGAATAAAATATGAATCATCAGTTCTGTTCTATTCAAAGCAGTTTCCAACTTCACCAGTCCAGTGTTCTTACATATTCCTACAGATATGCCACAAAGTAAATATTCACTGGCATTTCAGTCAGGCCACAAAAATTACTTGAATCATGTACAGCAAGAGCATCTCAGTTGGCAAGCACTGTCTACTATTTCTGTTGCAAGTGAATTCAGTTATAAAATATGGAGCAAAAAATCTAAGGACTTACTGAAAATTTGTTTCATATTACTTTCTTATAAATTCTGGTATTAAATATATATATATGTCTGTGAGTGTGTACAAATATAGTTAATTCTAAATATTTCTTATTTTGTTGTTTCCCATTAATTGTAATATTCGGAATAGTTTAAAATAAATTCTTATCACTATCACTAAAGTGAAATATATGGTTATTGCATTATTTCTTATAACCACTCTGAAAACACAGTCCTAATATTATGTATTATGCTATTAGAAACAATACTCTTTTTTTCTTTTTTAGGAAAGAAGAACTAAAAGTAAATTACTTGAAACAACACTTATTCCTAGGGCTCTTGGTGAGGGAAGCAGAAGAGAGGATTGTCTAATACAACCCTTATTCACTACCATCTGCTGCTGCTTGAACCTACTGAACATATATATCATACACTTTCTTTTTGGCATCCCTTGCCAGTGCTTTTGAAGTTCACTAGGAATGCTAGAGCTTGTGAGAACAACAGATGGATAATACTCTTTACAGTCATGGAGGGATACTATTGAAACTTCATCACCCAGATTTGCCAAGAAACCTTAGCAATGCTGTAACACAGCCCTGCTGCTTTATTGTGACCTCTCCTTATGGAGGGCCATTCTGAACTCTGACAGTGACTTGCCTAAATTAGCATTTCCTTGTGGTTGTATTCAAAAATATTTGTTTGACTTATTCCTCTGTGTTTTCATCCCCAAAATTCAATTTGAAATTATCCTCCAGCTGCACTTCCATTTCTTTTTATTTCTCTATTTATAGGTTTTATTAACAATGTATTGGCACCACATCAGTAGCCAGTATCAATGAAAGTGTTTGCATTATGAGACTGAGTTAACAAAAAGTAAAAAACCCTTTGTTTGTTAATATGCTGACTCAAGTAACACACTGTTAATATGCATTTCTTTCTACAACCTATCAGTCATCACCAAATTTGAACACTAGACTTTCAGCTTGTTCAGGTAAAACTAGAAAAAAATTACTTCAGAGCACAAAGCACATTATGCTATATTAAACATGGCCTTTTCCATGAAGTCAATTTGAAAGCACAGTTCTGGATATAAGGCTGCATATTGTTCATGTGAACAAGCCCAATATTGCTTTAATCCACTACATAAATACTGGCAGTGCTGAAAAAGTCAGAGAACTCACCACTTGTCCATCCCTCCCTGGAACACCAGGCACTCCAACAGAACCCTGGAGGGAAACAGACGCCAGTGTTTAGCAAATTAAACAGGTCATGAAACCTTTCATCTCATAATACAGTGTTTAGAAATAATGGCGAATGTTTGCTTATTGGAACTGCAATAAATTTTTCAAGAACTCGTTTTTATCCAAGTTGAGCTCTCCTTTCAGTTGAGATTTTTTACTAATTAGACATATTCTCATGTTGTACATTTTAAGGACTGTATGGCCTTTTCCAGAAACAAGCTTCAAGCTCATGTTTTGTAATGTTGTGGATGCTTCACAATAAATGTTAGAATTAAAATGCTATTCCATTTAATACTCTCAATAAGTTTTGAGACTGATCCCATGCAATCAAATATAGCACCTGAACAAGACTATTAATGCTTCTAGAGGGATCATTCAAGCTCAATAACTTGTAGCACCAATCAATCTCAAGGCTTTAAGAGATAATATGCAGTGATTCAGTCTGACAGTACAAATTACAGATACACTTTGAAACTGCACCAATATCAGTGCAATCAGAATTAAAAGGTCAATACAGGCCAAACACAAGTGACAAAGAAGAAAAAAATAATTAACAATGACTTCTCACATTGAGAGATATTTTTTTTATAAAGCTCTCATACTGTAAATTTCTATGTGATAAATAATTTTTGAAGGTCCTTGTGCAACTTGCTATGAAAGTTCAGAGAAAACACAAAGCATGAGGAAAGCAGGAAAGCTGCATAGGCTTGTACAGCATTCTCCTCTTATTTTATAAATATGGTGCTGCTCAGTAAGCAAACTGAAAGAATTTCTGCATGGAAATTCACCCTCTATTTTGCTTAGAGGTGTCACTAAAATTATCACCAACACCCAAAGGAAATGTGTTCAAAATGGATGCAGACATTTGTCAATTAATAGAGTTGGAAAATCCTGTTTAACAGGAAAAGGAACCAACTCATGAGGGCCTTAAGAATCCTCCAAGAGCTAGTAACAGAGCTTTGAATCAGTAAGAAATAATACACCGCATCCCAGCTTATCTCTTTGACTCACAATGCTCTCCCCTTTCTCCCAAAGCTTCCACTTTGGCATCCTTGTTGTCTCTTCTTGCTGAATGCATGGTCATGGTTTTAAGCTACTACAAAAGGGCCTGAGTGAACACTTTCACATCTCTGTACCATTTTTCCAGAAAATTAGAAGGCAAAGCTCAAGAGGGCATTAAACCATCAGCCTCAATAAACTACCCTATGTATAGCAGTTCCTCCTCTCAGTGGCAGCTGATTATTTTTCTTATGAAACACAGGATGTTAGAAAGTGTCAAATGAAGCTGATTCTACTGTGATAAGTAAATGTTTATCAGATATTCAAAAGTTCATCAGCACATGGGTTTTGCTGATGTCATACACGCAAAGTATCCTCCTCCACAATTCTCAGGGTATAGCTTTGTAAGGGCAACTTAGACATGAGCCACATTCCTGCATTGCCAAACACAAAGGGTAGTCCTCTCCTTCAGCCTGCAAACTCCATACAGCCCACAGCTGCCAAAATTCCACCAATTTGTGTACTTTGGGATTACGTTCTTACATATCACAAGTTTTCTTTCTTTTGTAAAAAAGTTTCATTTTAACAGATGCTTCACTCTAAAGATCATAATCTCAGAAGAAGGAAAGCAGGCATCTTTCTCACATATGTCAATACTACTTATTCCTTCCTCTTTTATTTTTCCTTTATACAAATTATAGCAGTTTTATTAAACATCTTTCATACAAATTTTCAATCTTTTGAAATCAGTTAGAAAATTACTCACCTTGGTGGTATGTGAGTCAGATGCCGGAAAAGTACCACTCACTAGCTGTTGTGCTGATATTCTGAGGACTGTTTTAATGGAGTAATTCCATAAATCATAACTCACTCAATCAAACCGAGGCAGTCAGCTTTAATGAGTGTAAATAAGGCTTGAGGCATTCCCAGGAAGGCAGGTCTCAGGTTACCAGAGGAACAGGAAGACACCGGCAGACCACCTGAACACCACCGACCAAGCGCTATTTATCAGCAACACCTACGCCCTTTGTTTCTGCTGGTCAATTCTTTAGTCATATGGCACTGATCTACTTGAGTAGAGACATGCATTTAATCAGAAACTTTATCTCCCCACCTTTCACAATGCTTTAACTTTGGTTTCCTAATCGTACCAGTCTATGAATGAGAAAATTATAGTGACCTTTTCACCTGCAAGTTAAGCAGACAGATTGAAAACAGTCTGCTCTGCATTGCTTGAACTTCATATGATGGGGGAAATGAGAAATCTTATGTCTCACGTTATATGGCTCCATTTTGCAAAACCAAAATGCAGAACCTAAGCTAATTGATTCAAAGCAGTGTACAGTAGCTTATTCCATTCACCTTTTCTGCATGCAATTTGGCACGGGAGGAATAATCACTTTCACAGCATTGTTGTTTATACTGTACCTTTTGTCCTGGAGGCCCCTGAGGTCCCTGCAAAGGGAAAACAATTCAATTAACATCAAAACTCCAGCCAATTTAAACTGAAATGACTAACAAAGACTGTCTTATTGTGTAAGCACTCTGATACTGGACTGAAACCAGCTGATATTTTATAAATCAAAGAAAAGTAGGAGTTTATGCTCAAAATGCACAATGAATCTTTCTTCTTCACTTTTGGAACTGAACTTACTACTATCAAGAATACTCAAATTTTCCCCCTTCTAATATTTTCTCTTCCAAGCCATCTGTTTCTTCCAATACTGACAAATCTCCCAGCATTAAGATGACTGTGGTTTTTCTCTTTTATATCAACCAACAGCCAGTTGTGTGTTCACAGTAACAGCATATCAGCTTGTCAGCATAAAAACAAGGTTTATGCAAACAACCATTTTTGCAATGGGGAGAAGCATAAACTTCAAAATCTTCTCACCTTCTAAGTATCACCACACATGACTGTGTTATACCCAACTTGTCATGTGTGCCATCCTTTCCAAGTTAAGAGAAAAATCTTTAGCTTCAGAAATTGTTAAGAATGCTCTTGGGAAGCAAAGAACCACCATTTTGTCCCCATGAGCTGAGAAGGCAGGAAGAGATATCTCAGCTCAGGAAAGCTTAACTTTCCTTTATGTCATACAGGAGTCAAAGTCTTGTTGATATTAAGAGGACCCATTTCTCAACTGGTGCCTCTGAAGTACCCAGGTGGCCACAGTGGAGAGGGGAAACAGAGAGAAATAGATCAACCAGCCACATCCAGGACACTTTGGCAGTCTCTTTTGGTAACAGACAGACCACATCCAATAGAGTTCTGTGCAATTTTTTCCTCAGGTTACTACTATGGGCACTGGTGCAAACTGTGGGTGGTGGTGGTGTACCAAGCAAAGTGAATTCATAGTCAATGAAAGTGCAAAACCCAGCACAAAAACTGGGGAATACAAATCCTTCTGATGTGAGAAAGTATAAAAGAAGAACTGATCGATACCAGAACTTTAATTATTCAGGAAAACAAAAGGATTTTTGCCTCAAAATGTGACTCTGATTTTATTCTTAAATTAGTGTGAAGTTAGGCAGAATCCTCCACTGTCAGTAGACGGAACATTGCTTGTTGGAACGTTGCTCTGACGCGACTTTAAACTGCTGACAAGGAAAAGCTCCACTGGTGGTAATTCTGAGCGCTGCATTCACTGACATGGATGAAAGCCTTGCAGTTTTAAATGGTATGTCTAAGGTTTGGTATCAAGTCTTGCAAAAGCATAGATGAATGCGCCTTCTTGAAAGTTTTGCCTGATTGTTTTAACAGAAGAAAGGTATTGTGAGCATCTCCTTTAGACTGCAGAGACAGATTCTGATAAAGGAAACCCACCTTTAATCCCTTGCCTTCAAAAGAAAGCAGAAGTACCTCAGTGTCCGGTTTATCTCGGCTGTTTGAGGGGCCTGGAAAGGCCCGGGGTGGCCTTGGGGCAGCCCGCGTATCGAAGGATGAGAAGAGGCTTCAGTTCTTCTTTCGGTTTTTATGTTTATTAATTGTTTATCTAAAAGATGTTCTTTCAGCCGAACAGAGATCTGCTCAGCAGTCAGCCATGAGCA